CTTCCAGCTTGTCAACTTTACAAGCTGGAAGGAATTCTAATTAATAAGGCGACAACAATTTGCAAATTAGTCTTCAATTAAAGACAAAGAACAACACGTCAAAAATTTCTGCTAAATTTTCCACGAATAAATACGGGACACTTTCACTAAAATAATTTACCAAACCAAATGCAATTAGCTTTTCGACCACCTGCAAATAATACTTCTTTGCAGATGTATTACATATGTATGTATTTATGTATCTACTGAACTTGAGACTTCAGTGCAATTGGTCCCCAATTAAGTACCTACACATATAAGGAATGTACGTGAATCAATAGCACAATTAGAAAAATATTCCATCCCGCAAAACAACTGACATCTTATGGCAGATTTTTAGATATTTTAGATATGTTTATTATAAAAAATATTTATGTATGTAGATGGGTATTAATTGAATTAATAAATAAGGTTCCATGCCCCGTTAAGCAGATAATTTAAGAGAGAAACTTTGAGTATTCTCTTGAATATTCGCAAGATGTTAGGCTTAGCCTAAACTCGATATTCTCGAAACTACGAGTACACTGGCTTAAAAAAATATATAAATTATCAAGTACCACAAAGTACCGTTTAGCAGCAGTTAAATTTACCAGTGCACTAATGAATGTTTATGCGGACGAAAATTTACATACGCCCTAAAATTTGTATTTCTTCTAAACCAACTTCATCGGAGTTGGAACTATGCAAAAAACTTATTTTTGAAATATTTGAGAACTGAGTGGCAGCATTTTCCTCAATTTCAGCAGTTCCAACATTTTCTCGAATTTTCTTGCTCTTTGTGCCAATAATTTTCGAACATACCTTAGTCAAATTATAGCGACAATTAATTATGGAATTCTTAATTATGCCATTAATTTCAAAATGCATGCACACCTAAAACACCACTTAACGTGACATAAATTTTTATTTATGCCCATTCCAAAATTGTACGTCTACACACGTACATGTATAAAGCACAGAATACACCAAAGAGAGAGATTGCATGAAAAATCGCATTTCTAGACAATATAAATTTTCATGTCGTTTCCAAGTTTTAAACTTTCCAAAATGGTGAGATTTTTTGCACGCTTCAAACTTCCTGATATCGATAAATCATATGTACCAACAATGGTCACACTTTCTACGTGGATCCTAAATACGCGGTGTATTCCAATCCGACCGGAACCTACGCAGGGCGAGTTCACTCTCATTCAAAACTTGCGCCAGAAAATAGTTTGCCATTTATCCTTCTCAGCGTATCTGTTGTACATGTTTGCCTTTGATTTTTGGTGTTATAAAAATTTCTTTGGGCAATCTCACCCCGTTTGGGAGAATCTAGTCCTACGGTGTTTTTCTATAGGAATTAACATCGCGGGCATATTTCAAATTGTGTTGTCCTTTCGGAAAAATGAGCTCAAACAATTGCTCGAAAATTCGTTCTTAATGGAGAAACGATGTTTTGCTTCAGGTAATGGAAACTTGTGCTTGTTTTCGCAACACGTTATACATACAGTTGTAAAAAACCGTTTTACTTAAAAGTAAAACGGTTTACCGTTTTACTTGTTGCATTAACAGACGTTAAAAACGTCTGTTAATGCAACACTCGATAATTGTATTAATCTGTACAGGAAAATAGTGTGCCCGTTGAGTAAAGGGTGGCATTTAATGGCGACCCGAAGTGACTGCGGAGGAGAGACCCTTTACATGCCCCTCTCATGGTCAGATCTCGATGCCCTCATAGCCCCAGACGAATGTAGGATCACCCAAGAGTGGTTTGATGTCATGCCCACATTTGCCCCTCAAAGGTGTGACAACCACGAAAAATGCCCCGTTTTCATGTGCTCTAATTGTTACCAAAAATCCAATTTTGCTCGGATTTTGATAACATTTGCATTTTGGTGATCCCAGACACTTGCGTGATCATATCCACTAGCAATCCTAAAATTTTTGAAATTTTTGGACATATTACTGATGAATTACATTTACGAAAAAAATTGAGATTACAAAAATTTCCTTTTTCTTAGGTGAAGGAAAAGTAAGCATAAGGTGATCGTGTTAAAAGATCACCATGGTTACGGCGAAGCCTAAGTATGCATTCAGCTGCAACTTTGAAAAGGTCGCACTGAGATTTCGCCCAAACCGTTCGTTGCATCGAAAACATGTTGAAACAAAAAAACCAGAGAATTATGTTTTACAGATACGTTTTTTTATTTTTTCAAAGATTCTAATTCCTTCTTGTAGAAAGTCCGATGCCTTAAATTTCAAATCCATTTCTTGGCATCAAGATAGTGTTTCTGACCTGGGGCTTGCCATTTTTATTATTCTCTAGGATAATTCGCAAATTTTAAGCCTTTGTTCGACTTAATCGGATGAAAACTCACGGAATTAGAGCTTTTTGAAATATTTGCATTAAGCAACCTATTTACATGTTAGGTTACTGGTTGCTAACGTGCGCTAATAGTTTATATAGCATCGCTATTCAATACCCAACATAACCAATGTTGCTAGACAATCGAATTACGTTATTATCAGATCGCTAAGTGTCAAGGCATGTTGCAACAGAACAATTCAGAAACTGGGGGATTAAATTGGTATACCACGCATCCACCCACAGGAGAATTAACAACGTTTAAGATTTTAAAATTGCATATGATTTTATGCATATAAGTTCACAAATCACTAAAAATAATTAAATAAATAAATTTTAAAAAACAAACTTAGGTGAAGGACGCGCTTAAAATATTAAAACAAGAAGCATTAAAAAATGTCATAAATCGTTTAATATTTATTAACTTTTACTTCACCGGGGGCCCAACTAACAGGAAAAAAAGTTATACTTTCAAGCATTTGGAACAATTATACGAAATACATGGTGGTTTAAATGTCAGGTTACAATGAAAAATTTTTCAATGGGAAAAATTCGTAAATTTCCAGTAGTTACGGGTTTGGGATTGAGATTTTTATTAATTTTTATCAAAATTATGGAACACTGATGACAAAATTCTTAAAATCTTGAATTTCAGAGGCAAAATTTCGGAACTAATGGATATTTTAGAATTTTTCCCATTGAAAAATTTTCCATTGTAACCTGACATTTAAACCACCCGTAATATGTATTTGTATATCAAACTTGCAAGATTTGAATGGTTATCTTTCAATAAATCGCGACACCTCTTATAGAGGAAATTCATGTTCTGGCGTATTTTAATAACTCCCCATGTAATGCTGCACTTAATATTTATCGGTGGTTTAGTTACATTTATTGATATTCATTGCTTTGAAAATTTAATAGTTGCCCGTGCGTTTCTGAGACTTGAGATCCATTGGGGAATCTGAACAGTAGATGGATCCTTACGGATCCCTTATGATTACAGTATATTTCCAATAAGATGTGATGCATATATGCATTTCATGTAAAAAATCTAATTGGAAATTTTTATACAGGAAAATGACTGCTAGGTCCCCAATGGAATTGCTAACGTTAACGGGATCTGATTGGAACATACTTGCATTACAAAACTCAATATCCCATCTGAATTAATCATATTGGATTTAGACGAAAAGGCATGAAATATATCAAGCATCCCCGATAAATACTGAGCGGCATATTTGGAATTCACTCCTCGTCATGCTTTTTTAGTTTCTCTTTGGTCAGCCTAAATTACTCGCTCTGGTCAATTTTCTATTCTTTGAAATATACCTGCGGTGACATGACCCACTGTCGTATGTTGGGAGGACGAAAACTATTTTGAATTCGGAACAACGTTCGAAGATGTATCGACCCTATCCGATTTAAAGCATTAAAGGGTGAGCTTGATATTCATCATATTATTGATCTTTATGGTTAAAAAAACATGAAAAAACCTAAAAGAAAATGTACTGTTTTTTATAGATTACACAATGGAAATTTTCGGCCTGAAGCCAAATACTGTTGAGTGGTTAACTTTTGAAAAGAAGCTTCACAATATTCCTGGGGATGCCAGAAAGAAGATGAATCGTCTCACAGGTCTGGCTTGAAATTCTACGATCATGTCGCCGGAATTCAGTTGTTCGAATTCCGATGATTCAGAAACGAGAGTTGAGGAGTATCTCAACTTGGTAGGGGAGAATTAAGAATAGTATAAAATTTATTAATTGGATTCTTGTATAAATAAATACATTGGATTTTTAATAGTCGGTATTTTGTTTTTGTTCTGGGATTTATTTTAAGATATCCAAAGGGAATTTTGATGGTTTTCATATATTATATTATCATACTGGATACTGTTCACCGATATCATATATGCCGAAGTGGAATTTTTCTGCTAAAATTTCGAATGGGAATCAATGGGTTCGTATTTGAGAAAAGTGATGGGGAATCCTTCCCATTTTCCCAACACCAACGATCATGGTATCCTATAGAGATAAACAGTTCCAATCTTAGTTATTCAGTATAGGACGGGGCTGGAATGATGTGATTGGCTGGTTCGCAGTTCAAATTTCTCCATGTATTTTTGATGCCGCATAAATGAAGCCGTAGCACTCGCTGCGCACCATCCGTCTCACTTTACCCTTTACCATCTCTTCTCATCACACTTTATATTTTACGTCCCAGAACAAAAAAACAGTTTTTCGTGCTTCGGTGTCTACCACACCCACCCACCATCATCAATTATTAAGTAAGTTTAACGACAAGATATGTCAGAGCAGTTTTACAACCATGCTCAGGATTTAATGTGACTTAATTTTTGTACAGATTTTCGTCATCTCGAATGGAGAATTTTTGCGACTTTCTAAGTTCGAATAATTAATTAAAAACTGAAAGTTGTTGTGATGCAGATTTACAACCAAATTTATTGCAACAAAAATTGATTTAGCATAAATACAATTTTACTAACTTTACGTTTGACAAACATCTAAATAACAACTAAAAAAATATACTCCACCGCCGTGTTGTCACCACTGAAAGTGTGTATCCACCGGCAATATTGATATTGATATATTGAAGCAATTGTTATCTAATGTGAATAAAACATCTTTGTTGTTTATAGATTTAATAATGCATCTTCACCAATAAAAACAACTTTGCCGTAATAACCAAACATCGAAATAATTTCCCGGTTGCAAAATATTTTATTATAAATAGTAGCAATAATTTTCGTGCCTTGAGTATATAAGGAAAATGGAAACAGTTGAATGTGGTTCTGATTCTTCTACTTCAAACTGTAGTGAAACTTATTTCTAATCTTTATCTTCTTGTTCATATAAAGGATAAATTAACCCACCCCCCTTTCGGTGAAGACACAGACAATGGTGAAGACACAAATGGGGTGGAGAGGTCGGTAAAACTCTTTGAGAAATTTCTTGAAGGTGGCTAAAAGTGTTTGCTGCAAACGACAGTTTTAGGTGATACGTTTTCCTTATCGATGTCGAGAATTTTACACCACTGCTGGAACCTTTAAAAAAACTAAAATTAGCTATCAGAGGAAAAAAGAATGAGAGAAATGAGTTATTTTGCATCGGAAGTTCTGACGCTTTGGCAGAAAGGAGTAATTACGATTTTCTTGGTTTCAAGAATTATCACAATTAGTACCGCAACACTTTATATTTCGGACCGTGACAAACGACGGTTTATTAAATTCAAATAAATGTTTTGAGCAACTGGATTTCCTGCGAAAAATAACAAGCAATTAGTAATTTGAAACCTGCTTGAAACAAATAACGTGTTTTCACCATATTTATGTGTCTCCACCGTTAATTGTTTATTTTAAGAAGATTTTGAAGAAGGTTTTGATAAAGTCACACTGAATTTGAGTACATGAAGGCGAATCTGTAATTAAAATGAACGTGTTTCCACCATATACATGTGTGTGTCCACCGTTCGTTGCTTTTTTAATTTTTGGAGATAATAAACTATTATTTTAATATTATGGTTGAACCTGGTAAACTTTACTGAAGTTCCTGAGAATTTCACACTATTCCCGAGTCACGAACAAGGTCTCATAGTAATTGATGAGTCTGTAATTAAACAAAATAACAAGGAAATATTGATATAACAGTTGCTTGCAATAATGAACGTGTTTCCACCATATTAATGTGTCTCCACCGTTCATTATTATATAATTTGAATTTGCTTTGTATAAACGCACACTGATAGATCAGATAAATTGACCGGTGGAGACACGGATCTGGTGGAGGAAGGGGCAATAGGTCACAATATTGAGTAACAATTGGCACAAATATTATATCTGCAATTCACAAAAATAAATTTAGTGGAACTTAATTTCCAACAATGAGCGTGTTTTCACCATACATGAATGTACATATATGTGTATTCACCGTTCATTATATGAGAAACTATTTTTGAATCTTGTAAAACTTTAACGAAGTTTCCGACAATTTCACACTGTTACCAGGTCACGAACAACAACTAATGGTAATTGATGAGTGTATACTTCAATAAAATATAGTGCATTACGAAATACAAGTTCCTTGGTCCTTATTGTTGCAGAATCCAGTTAAAGTTGTTATTTACCAGGTTGGCCGGCGATGACACAGATTTCTGGTGGGGGCACGGCAGAGAGGTCGCAAAATTAATGGATGAAAAATTGTCCTTAGCAGTTACCTGAACAAATAAATCGCAATAAATTAACATCCAAATCACTCGTAAAAATGAACGTGTCACCACCATATTTGTGTCCCCACCGTTCATTGTTGAAAGAAAATAGTAATTCTTTTACTACTTACCGAGAGTTGAAGCTTAGAGCTTAACTTGTGGTGATTTATGTAATTGAGTGGATGTCAGAAAATTAATTTGTAGGATATTAAATAATCTTTTAATTACTCAGCTTTTCCGAGTTTGGCAGCAATAATGATGGTAAAGGAGACACCTGATTTTGGTGCCAAGAAAGGAGTGAGATTTCCAAGTAATGGGAAATTGAGATTGGGAAAAATTGAGTTGTGCCACGGCCCTGTTTTTATGGGCGGATGCCCACAAAAACCGTCAGCCAATCACAGCATTTGGAACCCCATTTCCCTATACTGAAACAATAACCATATCTTCATCCTTCTTTAAGTGATCTGTATTCGCTGTCCCAACACTGTTTCCCATTGGGCTCTCCCTAATGGAAACAGTGGGAATGAACTGCACGGGTGGGCCCACGGTGAAGTAAAAGTTAATATATATTAAACGATTTATGACATTTTTTAATGCTTCTTGTTTTAATATTTTAAGCGCGTCCTTCACCTAAGTTTGTTTTTTAAAATTTATTTTTTTCAAAATCCGAGCAAAATTGGATTTTTGGCGAATTCTTGAAGTTCGCAGCTTTTGTGGTTTGCACACCTTTGTGGGGGTGTGGCGGACGCGCATGTGGCCATATCATCAAACCACTTTAGGCTTATCATATTTACATTCGTCTAGGGCTACTACATATGCAAAATTTATCAAGTTCTGAAAAGGGCATGCGGAGGACCTCTCCTCCTTAGATGTAGTTGTGTGACACAACTTGTGTCATCATAAATTTAATTGAACTTAAATATGTTTATATAATTATCTGTATTTAAAGTGTATGATTTTACAGGTGCCAGAAATTACGTGAATCTGACAATGCTGATATGCATAAACGTGGTGGCATTATCCATCTCTGGCGCATCCTTTTTCTTAGTGAGGCAAATACCTGACAACGAAAAAAATTTGCTGAGTATGCATTTACCCCACCCAAAAAAAGTGACATAAGTCGATTTCTCGGCTATTTCTCAACCGATTTTGATGAAATTTTGCACAGATCATTGTTAGGTAATTTAGAAAAGATGCGCTAGTCGACTTGGCGAATTTTTGATTTTTACCCAAGTTATGTGCCAAAATGTGCAAATAATTCCCCCTGAAAACATATTTATTTTTATGATTCATAAGTGGTGTATCTCAGCATGCTCGCTTATTGAAAATATTTTAGCCAAAGTCATTCCGGACATTTTAAGCGCAAAATGACCTAAATCGGTTGAGAAATAACGGCGTTATTCAAGTTTGAAAATCAAAAATTTAATAAAAATATTCAGGGTGCCGATAATAACGGCGGTTGTGCAGTAAAAATGTCTTCGACAACCAATTGCAAGTTTTAAATAAACAAGGCCACAAAAAATGGAAAATCTTAGTGAGTCAGCGCAATCACAGTTAATAAATAGAATTAGATTGAATAACTTTTGCATCACCGCTCTCGGGATAATTTTTACTGGGTCCACTGTAAATTTAGTTTTGCAAATTTGGATATACTATTAATTCTTATTCTGATGAAATCTCCAGACCCTTTGAGGGGGGGGAAATTATTCTAAATGATTAATTAATGCTTCCAGGAAAAATGATACCGATAGCGGTGATGAAAAAATTATTCAATCTATTATTTATTAACTGTGATTGCGCTGACTCACTAAGATTTCCCATTTTTTGGGGCCTTGTTCATGTTTGCTAGCGGTGTCTTTGTCCCATGCAGTCCTCCATCTGTGGGAAGCGTTTTGTTCTATTCTTGCCCGAACGGTTGGACTGACCAAAGTTTGTCCTGGCCAGGTCGACTAATCAATGGACTAATCCTTGCCCATTCATGGTACGTGCTTGCATCGCTTATCGTTATGGCAAGTACCGTGGTTATGGTGCATCCTTCAATCGTGATAGACTTGTGGATAAATCAAATCAGCAGGTATTCTTTAAATAATCGACTTATTACGTTCTTCGAGGATGAATTTGAATTTGAATTCAAATTTGCAGGCAAAGAAAATTGGACACCTTTTTCTTTAGTAGAGCAATATTGGAACAATACAGGGTTGCTCAGGTTATGAAGAACTTGCTAAATTTCGTTAAGCGGAATCCAATCACAGGTTTGGTGTTATCTTTCGTAATTGATGCTGAAATTGCGTCTTTTTACGCGATTACCATGTGCCGGGGTAAATTACCGTTGCCTGTCTTACTACTGTTTGCTATGGCTTTGCTGGATTACTCTGCTACGATATTTGTCTTTCTACGGGCGTTGGGTAAGCCATACTTGAGTTCGGTTCAGTTTGTTACTAATTTCAATCGGTTGGGGCCAAGGAATGATTTGAGGAGGAAATTTCTGAAATCATGCCAACCATTAAAGGTGGCTATGGGTGATGGAAAATATTTTGATGGGTTAACGTCACTTGTAATTTGGCAGTTCTGCGTGGACTCCTTAATTGCTATGATTCTGTTGTAGAAAAATTGTAGACTGGGTAAAACTCCGCATTTTGCGCATCTTCACACAAGGGACACAATGGAGGAGATAACGTGACAAGTCGCTGTGTGATTATCGAACGTTTAAGGAGATCCCAGATTGATTTGATTCAAGATAGTTGTTTTATCGTATCCGACATGAATGTCAATTTTTTAAATATTTTCGAAAAGTTCTTGACAAGGGAAAAAATCATAATTTCAAAAAAGTAGAGTTTGCTATTGGATATGATAAAGCAGTGTGTGCAGAGCAAAAAGGCAGGCAGTGCCTTTTTGCCTGCCTCTTTGCCTTTTTGCCCCACAAAAATCTGTGCCTTTTTGCCGTTTTGCCCTTTTGCTAATTTGGGGCGAGATGAGACGAGAGTCCCGTGATAAAATTAAAGTGAAAGTTATTCATTGCGTTTTTAATACTTTTCGCAAATATGAGCCTAGTGTCAAAATTTGATTAATTAAGCTGATGGCGATGTAGGAACAACGCTGAAGATAGCTGGGGAAAAGCATTCCACTAATTTGAAGTATTGATGAAAGTCAGAACCCTCCAATACAATTTTAAAAACATATTGCAGATTCTACAATTTCTTTAATACGTTATAAACGACAATAAATCGGGTTCAATCGTCAAAAATCGAGCAAAAAGGCATCAAACAGGCAAAAAGGCACGCAAAAAGGCAAAAGGGCACGCAAAAAGGCAAAAGGGCATTGAAAAAGGCAAAAAGGCAAAAAGGCATGCAGAAAAAGCAAAAAGGCTGCCGTTTTGCACACACTGTGATAAAGCAACTATCTAAGATTACAAAAATGCTTAAATTGTGAAAATCCGATCATGATAAAATATATGTATCATTTTTCCAGTAATTGCAAGTGAACTCGGCTCTTGAAATTACGTCATTATTCCAGAAAATTTCACAAGCACTTTTTGCTTATAAGATATATATTTAGGTAGTTTAGAGAAATGCGGTAATAAGCATTATTTTAACTACCCTTTGAATTTGATGATGTTAAACATAACCATCAGATAATGATTTATGTAATACCGGTTTTCTAATCCTAAGAGTGCACAATTCTATGACACTTGTATGGGCATACCTTCTGACTATGCTTGTAACGTAATATATAAATGTTCTTTCCTTATATGTCAAAACGTTTAAAACCATGGTGTAAAATAAAGATCTGAATTAGTCCGAAATATTCTTTAAGAAGATTTATTTCAATTTGAACTATTTTTATCTGGTGACGATGAACGATTAACCACTTCAACCCTAGGAGACGAGTTTTTTCATACCTTTCACCCCTAGTAACCGAGAATTTTTACCTCCCTTGACCCCGAAATTTTTATCTACTGCATGACGTTAATTCCTGGGCCATGAATTAAAAAATGTTGTTCCCACCGGAATTATTCTGGACACTTTTTTATGAAAATTGATGTGAATAACCTTTCAAGAAGGTATTTTGAGTTGTAATTTGCATTTTTGAGCTGTGGCGAACCACCAATGTTTATAGCCGAAAATAGCCAACACGCCGAATTTTAAAAATGATTGTAATTGCATGAAAAGTTAGACAAGCATGGAGTAATACTTGCATAATAGTACGTAAACTCGCAAATATTGATTATAGCGCATAAAGTGCCTTAGGAGCCGATTTTGGGCGGGAAAACCAAAAATCCTTACAATGACTTTAAATAGACAGCAATGACAATGAATAATTATCCCGTGAGAGGAAATTGCTCGAACATAGACTATGGCGCATCTGGTGAATAGAAATCAATTTTAAGCGGGAAAATTAAATTCTACTAATTCCTGGCAATCTCTCAATTTTTAATTTTCCCGCCCAAAAGATATTTCAGCGGCACCCGATACGTAATGATTAATTTTGACGTAGTTTACCCTACCGGCAAGATTATTTGTGGTATATAATTAAATCCATGCAATGATGCAATTCATCAAACTTTTAGTTTTCTCGCCCAAAACGCCCGTTTGTGCTACATGCGAGCAAAACAATTTCTCTAATCTTATCGTAAACCGTTGTTGAAATAAATCGGTGTCGAAATTTCCTTGCAAAAAACAGTTTTCACAACTCGGCGTGTTGGCTAGATATAGCCACTTGGCTATAAATTTATTTTGCATCCATTTCTAATATTATTTCCTAAGAGACAATTTATCTTCCCGCCTAAAGGGCGGGTTGTTGACTCATAACTCTTGCTTTACTTTGCTTGGAGAGGCAATGACCTAATTTTTTCCGCATACGACACATAGTCGTAGGCCGGTGTGAACGGAAAATACGCCACATAGTCGTATCCGTTGTCAAGGGAACTTACGCCACATGGTCGTACTCGGCGTAAAGGTCAAATACGCCACATCGTCGTTATAGGGGTGAAGTGGTTAATAATTAACTTCTGTCCTGCTGTTACCATAATTAGCATATGAAAGGAATTATTGATAATTGCATGTAACGGTTTGTAACAAATACACTTACATAAATTTGCACATAATTAGTTACGTATTACGTAAGTGTACATAACTATTTATGCACTCCCTAGACCAAAATAAGAC